ACCACGGAGATTCCTCCCGTGGGCTGGCAGTACGTTCATTGAAAGTGGATGTTACGAAAAGAAATCGTTGCCCAGAGAGCTGAAAGCAGAGGTGACAGTGTGCGCAAAGGTCGAGAAAAATTAAGAGAAAACGTTCCAAATGGTACCCTTCTCGCCCTTTAATTTCCGCTTTGGGCACATGGTAGCCGATATCACGCCACCAAGCCTTATCCCTTAACTGGGCGCATTACCTAGAAAACTCAAAGATACATCCGCAAGCCATAAAATGCCTTTAAAAATGTATGGCAATAAGAGCATCATCACTCAACCAATCACAGCCCTGCTCCTCCAGTAGGAGGCGTGCCGCGCCACGGTGGGTGGGGCTCGCCAGGATTAGTCCACTGCTACACAAGCCTCTTCTCGCTTTCTTGGGAGCCTGGCATCCCCTTGCAGTGAGCATACCTCCTCTTTTCCGCGTCCAGTTTGTAATAACACCCTCCTCTGCTGCCTACTACGAAACAACGACCAGCCAGAAAAATTTGACCACACAATTCTCCTTCCTGCTACTCGAGAAACACCAATGTTAATTTCCAAGAAATCTGACCAAAATGATTAATATCCTCTAGTTCACTTCATAACTGAGGAATATCACTGTGATCGCATCGTGCTCCTTATTTTATATTATGACTGAAATGAGACTCACTAATGGTCAGTGATGTTGGATCTGTGAGGTAGGCGATTTTCTTCATCGGGCTTGAGCTCGGACCTCCTTTAGTGACGCTCACGCTGGATATGCAGGGAAAATTGTAGAAGTGGAACTGTGGAGAATACCGAAAAGCTGGTTACCTGATCAGATGGCGGCTGGTTAACTCGGTTCTTACCCAACCGAGCGGCCCATCAATACCGTATTCGACGACCGTTATCTCACCGACATTCACAATCACACACACGTGTGCGAACTCGAAATAAAACCTGAAGGGAGTCCGTTTCAGGCAGTTAATGACAGGTAGATCAGAGTTCCAATGAATCTTTTACCGACTCACTTTTCATTGCCACCTGATTGCCAGTCGATTTCGGACGAGAGCCCTGTTTCGTTGTCAGCCAGGATCAACGACGATGCTGTGTACGCCACCACGTAGCGATCTTTTCCCATCATCTGAGCGTAAATGTTTTTTTGGTACATTTCCTGCCTTGCGAACGAGTTTGTTTTTGACGTGAATTTGGCGGAAGTCGGAAGTCGGAGGGGTGAAATGGTACAAGGGAAACAGTGAGTTTAATACTATTTTCTCTCATC